GTAGTCGCGGAGGGGTTCAATGATGAGGCTCCTTGAAAAGTTGCCGGTGCGGAGGACGGTTTGTAGGAGGGCCAGGAGGGTCCCGTCGTCAGCACCGTCGACTTTGTCGGCTTCCGTTCTTCAGCGCTCCAGGAAGTCCCGAAGGGTCTCATCCCTCTTCTGGCGTATGGTTAGGAGGTGGGAGAAGTGCTTCCTCGTGCGACGTCTCCCGGCAAATTGCGTCAAGAATCGTTGGGCGAGTTCTTGCCACGAATCAATGCAACCTTCGGGCAACCGGTTGAACCAATCGTATGTCGGCCCCTCTAAGGTGGAGAGGAACCAACGACACAAATATTCGTCCGTAACCATCATCATGCTGTTCTGATATTTGCTGTAGTGTTCATGGGGGTCCGTCTTCCCGTTGTAGGGCTGTATGTGTTGCCCTCGGTATTTTTCCGGGATCCGGGCCGCCAATACCCTTGGGGTGAATGGCGTCCGGGTCCGGAGCTGGATGATGGGTTCCCCGGCACCCTCGGCTACATTCTTCTGCAATTCCTCCATTTTGGCCATCATGGCCTCGTATTTGAGGTCTGAATGAGGGGTGGAGGTGGTGGCGTGAGCTTTGTTGGCCTCCATTTCATCAAGTCGGCGTTGGAGGGCCGCAATAATTTCGTCCCGGGGGTCCTTCGGGAGGGTCTCCGCCCCCTGCGAACGAACCCGGGCCGAGTGGGCCTGGTTGATTTGGTGGCGAGCATCGTCGGCATGAAGGGGTGCCTTGCCTTTGTCCCGAGGAGGACGCGCTCCTCGTCTGCCCTCGAGACAGACCCTCCGCTTTCCTGGGGCCTTGGGAGTGCCTTTCCACCGAGGCGGTCTTGGACCCCTCGGCGGTCTTGCCCCCCTCCGAGCCGGTTGAGAGCGGAAGTGTGGGGCCTTTCTCTGTTGTCATTGTGGCGGTCCCGGGACTGAACTTCCTGGGAGGCCGTATCTTGGGCCACTACCCCTTCGTCATTCCCAATCCGAGGGATGGGGTTTCCGAAGGGGTGTGGCAGAGGGGGAAATATGATGTTCTCCCCAACCTGGGGTTGAGCCGGAGCCAGGGTGCCGAAGGCACCTGGGTTCTGAGTGAGCGTCTGGATGAAGGCGGAGAGCGCCGAATGAACGTCGATGGTGAGAACCGGATGGCTGACTTGGTCATCGCTCCGGTTCTTCTTCTTGGCCTCGATGCCGAGGCGGGCATCGGGGGCATTCTGCTGGATCTGAAGGCGTAGGTCGACAGCCGCCTGTTCCAGCCCAGCGATGACACCGCTCTCGGGAGCCTTGTGAGAGGCTTCGGGGGCGTTGACGTCGCCGAGGGCCAGGTTCTTGTCTTCTACGTTTTTGGAGTTGGCACGTGTAGTTCTCACCATTTTGGTAGAGGGCTAGTGTTTGACGAAGGGGGAGGGTTTCTTACTTGATTGTTCGACCTCTCAACGAGAGCACCAAATGATGGATAGTGTACCCGGGGGGGTAGTTTATCCGAGGGTTATTACGGGGAGTAATAAGAGAGAAGTCAGAGCAAGTAAATATAGAGAGAGAAAGTATATTGCAAAGTGTGGAGCATTTTCAGCGTGTTTACAAATGGGGAAATGGGGTGCTATTTATAAATAAATGCCGGACAGGGACACGTGTCAAGCGCCCATTGGCCGAGAGGTCACCTCAACTGGTTGGCGCTGGCAACCGCATGTGGCCGCATTTAATGCGGCTGTTGGATGGGACGTTGTATAGGGTACGGTGATCTGTACGCATGTGGCGCAGATATCATGTCGGGAAAGGTGCCCTCGGCTGTAGAGGACTAGCCGAGGGCTCTGAGTACCGGGGACCCCCTTGGTGCCGAGGGCTCCCAGGTGCCGAGGGCTAGTGATTTTCTGCCGTTTTTCTCCCAGTTTCTTAGTTTGCTTGAAAACCCGTTCTGTGAGAGTTTTGAGCCTTCGGCCAGGGGGCCGAAGGCTCCCCAGTGTGCGATGTGGGCTGCTAAGTGCTTGGGGCGCCGTAATTTGGGGCCTGCTGTGCTTCCTGGGCCGGTTGGGCCTTTATTGGTGTAGTAGGAGTGTGTGGGCCGGGGGTTCCCGGGCCATATACTCCATCAATATATATAACGATAATCTAGAATCAACATTAGAAATAGAAAGAAATGCCAATAGGTAATGTATGGGCTAGGCTATCTAAAAAGTCTGCTGCCCGGTTACCCTCCCGATAAACATCCTTAATTCTTTTAGTAATGGATGTAACTTTAAAATAGTACTATTTGGTCATGAAATTTGAGATCATTTTTCATTTTTAATATGAGACGTTTTTTTGCATTGAATAGATTGACATGCAGGGCCGGCCCTGTCGGTGTGCAGGATGTTCAACCTCACAGGGCCCAAAAAATTGGAAGGGCGCATTTTTTTGTAGTAGTATACTAGTATTACTTAGAGGCGGTTTAAGGCCCATAATTTCTATATTTAATTCATTTAACCTTCTAGGTAAAAATTGTCTACTAAAAGTCTAAAACATGCAATCTTTGTTAGTTCAATAACCCCTAATTTTACTTAATAAGATCATAATACTCTCGTTCTAAAGAAATCATAACACCCCAATAACTCAATTTAATGAATATGAACCGACCACTACCAAATCGCGTTATGCAAAATGTTGTCGTAGTCACAACCTTCACTAAAATTCTGAAAGAAAGGATTGAAGGACTAATTTGCTAAATTCTGGAATCTAGAAAGGCTACTATTTTTACAAACATGACTACACCCATTATTAAATACGGAGTATATGAATTAGAAAAATGTGTAGTCACTTTTGAAAAAATAGTAAGCCATGGATTAAATCTAATGGATAAAAAATGGGCACTGAGCAACTTCCTTTTTTATTAGGCAAGGATGGTTGAAAGGAATACTTTCATTTGGATGCAACTGAGAATTATAAAAAGTTGGCTCTTTTAATTAAAAAATATAAACTGAGAATATGTTTAGATAATTAGTTAAAAAATTAAGACATATCCAATAAATGATAATATGCATTATCAACCAATGTTATAATCGATTGAATAAAACACTTTCCGCTAATTACAATAACACATACATAAACTGATAAACCCGTACACGCGCACATATATACTAAAAAAATCAACTCATGATATTCCGTGCATGGCACGGGTAAAGATACTAGTATACTACTAGTATACTTTAAACAACGTAGCACAAACACGAAACTTTATAACATAAATATATTTGTCTAAAAAGAAAGTAGAATACGTGATTTATGATAGGCTCATTCCGTTCCTATCTTTTCACCCATATTTTGGGTGTTAATTGTCTAATTTTTGTAATTAACCGGGTGATTATTGGGGATTTGATTGAAAATTTGTTATTTTTCAGTCCAGGCGACAATCATTTTCAATGTAGATTTTTGTACATAATTCGACACATTTGGAGTAATTTGATTGTAAAATTGCATATCATTAGCGGGCGTGGTGAATTGTGATTGTTAAAGACCGATGAATTGTATGGGCCGGATCTTTGAGGGTTATTTTAGAAGTTGTTGGTGCAGCCCAAAGCCCCAAAAGAAACAAAAATGAAACGCAGTCTAACGGAAAAAATAGCAGCAGTTCACAAGCAGCCCAAAAGAAAAGAAAAGGGAGTTAGGGGTTTTTCCTTCCTAGAGCCAGCAGTCACATGGATTTCATTCTTTTCTGGAAAATTTTGGAATATGTATTGATTTTTGTTGTGATTTTTTGGCCAACAAAGTTCGAAACCCACAGCCGTCGTGTAGAGGTCACTAACTTTTGCATGTTGAGCTGGACCTGTGGTATGCAATGCGGAAAGGGTATAAAGCCTATATCATTGGGCTTAGAATGATTGCAATGGAGGGGTGAAAACCCAAAATGTGAGGTTTTCACTCCAAATTAGCTGCAACCCGGACGTTTTTTAGTATACTAAGGTCTTATAGCTAATAGGGAGAAGGGATGGGAGGGTTTTTTGGGCGGAGGATTGACTCTGGACCCAAACATTCTGACTCTTGGGTAAGGAAAAACAAATCGCCCCATACAAATTAAAAAATCAACTTTTTTAAAAAATAGCATAACTTTTTTATTTTTGATCCAATGTTTTTAAAAAATATATCAAAATTCATAACTTTTTATGATTTTTCGTATGACACCAATATCATATATATATATATATATATATATATATATATATAAAGTTAAAAAAATATGTAGTTTCATCTGATTGAAATCTATAGGCTAAATTTTTTACTTGAATAGATCCAAATGTTAAAATTATGATCTCATGGATAATTTTTTTACATCTTTTGGTTATGTTTTACAAAGTAGGTTTGAAACTAAAAAACAAATTAACATCCAAATTTATTTATTTTTACATCAGAATTTTTGATTTTTTAAATTATAATTATTCACAAAAGAAATATTGATAATTTTTTATTATAATAATAATAGAAAAGGATTTAATTAAAAAAACAATGTGATGAGTGAATATATTGACGGTGTTGGATTGCAGGGAAAAACTTGATTGATTGGATTAATACTCATAAACCGGAGGGGAATTAGATTTATTGACGGACTGGATTACGGTTAGTCTTAAGTTGGGGATTCAACCTTTTGTAACATCTTTAAAAAAAGCAGTAGGTAGAAGATAGTCGCACCAGCATTTTTTCCTTCTCTTCACTTAGCCGTAGCAGAAATCAAGAATACAGCAGCAAATTTTTCTTCCTTTTTCGATGACAATCATTTTTTTCTCCTTGGAAGTTAACGCAGTAGCAACTACAAAATCTAAGCAGCAATTTTTCTTCACTTTTGGAACTGCCGCAACAGCAAGAGAGTGTGAGATTTTGGGAAAAGGTACTCCAATAGGAGCCTTGGCCTATATATATATATATATATATATATATATATATATATATATATATATATATATATATATATATATCTATGTATGTATGTATGTATGTATGTATGTATGTATGTATGTATGTATGTATGTATGTGTGTATGTATGTATGTATGTATGTATGTATGTATGTATGTATGTATGTATGTATGTATGTATGATAAAAGAGTTTAGCACAAACTAGGAAACAATATTCCTAATAATATTCTATTACACTCCCTCAAACTGTGCGGGAGATACAACGCGCAGGTTGTCTTTTAATAAGTGAAACTGCTGACTAGAAAGACTTTTAGTAAAATTATCAGCTAACTGCAGTTGTGTAGGGATGTACTTCACGACTAAATCTCCATGCGCCACATGTTCTCTAACAAAATGATAATCTATCTGGATATGCTTGCTACGAGCATGCTGAACTGGATTTGCAGTCAAATATGAAGCAAAGATGTTATCACAAAAAACTTAACTGGAACTGTAACTAGAAAGCCGAGCTCAAAAAGAATTGAACGAATATGCAATGTATCCTGAACAGTATATGCAACAGCACGATACTCTGCTTCGGTAGAGGACTTGGATACAGTAGGCTGCTTTTTGGATTTCCACGAGACCAGGTTGGGAGCCAAAAATACAGCAAAGCCAGCCGTGGAACGAGATGTATCTGGACAGCCTGCCCAATCTGCATCTAAATAGGCAATAACACAGGTTGTCTTTGTAGTCGGTTGAAGCCATAATCCATGATCCAGTGTCCCCCGCAAGTATCTAAAAATACGCTTGACTGCAAACAGATGAGTAGTACGAGGGGCATGCATAAACTGAGACACTAAATGTACAACATAGGTTATATCAGGTCGTGTCAAAGTTAAATATTGTAACGCACCAATCATACCTTTATACTCAGTGGCATCTGCAAGAAGCTCCCCATCATTAAGGGACAAAGAAGTGCGAGTAGCAAGCGGTGTACGAACAGATTTAACAGTGTGGAGATGAAAACGAGAGAGAAGGTCAGAAACATATTTATGCTGAGATAGAAATAAACCTTTAGCGGAACGTAGAGCCTGGACTCCCAGAAAATAGTGAAGATCACCCAAATCTTTCATAGCAAAATGTGTAGCAACAAACTGAATAAATGAATTAATGACAACGGAAGAATTGCCAGTAATAAATATGTCATCTACATATAATAATAAATAAATGACATTATTATTCTGACGGTAAATGAATAATGAATTATCAGACTTGCTGCACGAAAAATGATGAGATAACAGAAAACTACTAAAACGATGAAACCATGCCTTCGGAGCTTGCTTAAGATCATAAATGGCTTTTCGCAATCTACATAAATGACTAGAATGTTAATCGCGCATTGCGCGAATGTAATATGCCCAACTTATTCTTGCTTTGAACTTTATAATGTTTCATGCATGCATACATGTGTATTTCAGTAATGTTTAAGTTGGGATTGCAAATAGAATGTGGTAAGGCATAAGATGATATTTAATATTTTAGGTTTTAATGTTACACCATTCAGAAAGTAGTGAATAAGAATAGGATTGGTAATATGTATCAAGGAAGAATAGGAATAGTCTAAAAAATTAAGGCCACATACATATATTATAGTGTCTGTTTAGTTGGACATTGAATTGTGTAATATATTCAATGACATAGAATGTAATACTTATTTAAATATAATGTTTCCACATTAAATGGAGCGGTACAATTTGTATCTTTGATTCTAAAAACAAGTTAAAAATGTTTGGAAGTGGCATGAATAGGTTTGACATATGCAATAATTTGAAAGTAAGTAAAGTTGATATTATTCCATATATAACCAAGCATTTCAATGTTTAAATGTTAATTGTATTTCCACATTTCTCTTTTATTGAAATGTAATAATATAAACCTAGCTAAGGGCTCGTTTATGGGGTTTTAAAATGATTTTTGAAGTTCTCACATGTCCCTAAGTCTTTCAAGGCAACATGACAAAAGTCACCAAACAGTTACTCCCTTTGTCCCGTAGAAAGACTTTCACTTTCCTTTTTAGACGTTCCATTAAAGTTTCGTATTTTCATTTTAGGAAATAATTAACAACCTTAAATGACAAATTCATCATTAAATATTAAAAATAATACATTTATAACATCACATATATCAACAATAACTTCATTATATTATATAGAGAGAATTTCCTAAATAGGAGTAAAGAAATTTTGAAATTCCAAAATAGGACTATCATGTTTTTTATTCCTTGAATAAGAGTAAATTTATACCAAGTTTGGCATTACTAGGCTTTAAAACATGGCATTTTTTCCACACTTGGCAGATTACCCCTATTCAGGAAATAAAAAACATGATACTCCTGTTTTGGAATTTCAAAATGTTTTTGCTCATATTTAGAGCAATTTCTATATTATATACCTATTAAAATTATTTCTCAAAATATACTCGAACTATCTTATTTAGTTATTGTCTAAATAACTGTGTCGTTTTGACGTGGTAACCTTTCAACGGGACGGATGTAGTAATATTTATCACAAAAGTGTATGAAAATACTATCTCATACAAACTTCGTGTGTCTAAAATAAAATAGATAAAATTATCGTAAAAAGAATGTAGAAATTCAGTGTTATTTTATTCCGGTCATTTCCCTTGAAAGGATGTAACTTAAACGTGATTTTGTTCATTTAATATATCTTCTGAGCGATACACTCAAATACGTTATGTTCCATAAAAGTACACTCAATTAAAATTGAGGTGTACATGATAAAATTACCAAAAGGTGTACACTCAAGTGATTTTGTTATGTAAAGGTTCGTTGTTTGAATATATCTTAGGAGCTGAAAGCATGTCATTGAAAAAAACACATACATAGTATATATCATTCTAAGCTTAAGTGAAATCAATCTTTAAGATAAGTGAAAATTGATGTATAAAGTAATTGTACTTGAAAGCAAGTCGGCAAGATGCAATGAAATAAACTTGACATATTAACAAACACATGTGTGCTTTTTTCCTTTCATACGACCTTGTGAAGTACTGCCTTCGTCCCAAAATTAACTTCCCATTTCGGATTACGATGCTTGACCGATGATAAAGCAACTCGATCCCTGTTCATACTCAGATTAGTAAATAAAATTTACATATTGAGAAACTACATTAAAACTGCTACAAAGATTGATAAAAAAATATAGATTTGATAAAAAATTGATATATAAAATATAAGATTAAGAGTAATTTAAGTTGACCATGTGAATAGTGACTGTGAGTCTGTGAAGTTCATTTTGGGACGGAACGGAGGGAGTATAAAGCATGAATAAAAATGCAGCATAACACATTCAATGTGAGAGTTTTTTGCTTTTATAGATTAAAAAAAATACAAAGAATAATCCCAAACTTACTTACGTAGCACAAACATTGCACTACTTTTAATAAAAGGGGAATAAGATCTAAGGATAAAATATTAAAAATGTAATTCTGAAGCCATTAAACAAAGGAGATGGAAGGCACAAAGAAAATTAATACTGAAATAGTACACGATAGCATAATACTTCGTATAACATACCTCAGGGATAAATGGAAGTTCAATCTCATTATATATTTTCCCTAGAGATAGGTTAATAGCCAGCTAAATGTAAAACTAATTTGCTAAGAGACGCTACATCTTCTTGAACAGAGGTGAATTGTCAATGAGCTGAGGTGCACTCACTGGCAGGGGAAACGAGTCATGAAGAAAAAATTAAAAGCTCGCGTCGTGCAGGTGAAGAGTTGAAACAATAGATAACATGTCAGGAGTAAATGATGTACTTGAGTTGACGGTGTGTAAATAAATTTAACGCCGTCAACTATGAAACTGGACGGTGAAGAAGGTAAATCAGAAGGGTTGTTATATGGGATACTCTAACAGCACATGGTACAACGTCTTAAAGCCTAACTATGAAGATGTCATAAGTATTTATTAATAAAACCAGCCTTTAATTAGATAGGTTAAGATTAGGAAATAAAGGATGGATGAAACCTCGAGGCTGACGCATATAAACTTCCTCTGTGAGGTGTCAATGCAAGAAGGTATTCTTGACATCCAATTGACGAATGACCCACCCAAAAGAGACAGCTAATGTAAGAACAATACGAACAGTGGTGGGTTTGATGACTGGACTACAAGTTTCAGAAAAATTCACACCTGCCTGTTGATTAAAACCTTGAGCAACCAGACGTGCTTTATGGCGCTCAATGGAACCATCAGAATTATACTTAGTCTTATAAATCCACTTAGAGCCCGCTACATTTTTAGTATTATCAAACGACACCAAATCCAAAGTTTTATGAGAAATAAGAGCATTAAATTCCTCAGTCATTGCCTCACGCCATTTTAACTGTTTATTAACCTCGGAAAAACATGAAGGATCAGCTGATAAAACAAAAATGTTTAAATTAAAAATGGTTTTTGGTTTAAAAATTCCCGACTTCGCCCTCATCTGCATGGGATGATTATTGACTACGGGTCCGTGACTAACATGTAGCAGCTGCATTGCTGCCGTGGGTATGGTAGACGGAGGCTCGGGGGGTAGTGGCTGGAGGTGCATTCGGTGGGGCAGTGGGATGGACGGTTGAAGGACTGGGGGTAGGGGTGGCTGGAGGCTCAATCGGTGGGCCATTGGGAGGGACAAGTGAGTGGCAGTGCACAGATGGTGATGGAGAGGTCACGACTGGACTGGAATTTTGAGGTACCTCATGGGCAGCAGGTTCAAGGAAGGCAGTGGGTTCAAGGAGGGCAGTGGGTTGGGGAAGATGGGAATTGGAGTTGGTGTTGGTGAGAGTAAAGTCATTAGTAGAAGGAGGAGATATAGAGGTAGTGTTATTCGTAGAACAAGACAATGTGGCATATGGAAAAATGTTTTCATGAAAACGAACATGTCGACTAATATAAACTTTACCAGACTTGGGCTCAAAACAACGATATCCTTTGTAACCGGATGCATAGCCAAGAAAAACACATTGGATGGAGCGAGGAGAAAGATTATTAGAAGAAGTAGAAAAATTTGGATAACAAACACACCCAAAACACGTAATAAGCTATAGTAAGGAGGTTTTTGAAAAAGAATATCATATGGAGAAACGCCATTAAGAGTCGGAGTAGGAAGCCTGTTAATTATATATGCAGCTGTAAAAATAGCATCAACCTAAAAGGTGCTAGGAATAGAGGCTGTGATGATCATAGTCCTAGCAAATTCTAAAAGATGACAATGTTCGCGTTCAACAACACCGTTTTGTTGAGGAGTATTTGGGCAAGACTTTTGAAAATAAATGCCATTTCCAGCAAAAAATTGTTGCGTATGAGAATTAACAAACTCACCCCCTCCATCACTTTGGAAAATTTTAATTTTAGAGTTAAACAATTTTTCAACTAAGGTTTTAAATAGTCGAAACTGATGAAAAACTTCATGTTTAGCACGCAATGGATATATCTAGGTAAACCGAGAAAAATCATCAATAAAGCACACGTAATATTTAAATCCTAAATTAGATAAAACAGGTGATTGCCAAACATCAGAATGAATTAATTGTAATGGTGCAGAAGAATTATGGCTAGCATCCGAAAAAGGTAATCGTTGAGATTTACCCAAGCGGCAAGAAATACAATCATGTTCAAAAGTAGACGAATTAGAAATAAGTTTTCTACGAAGTAACACGCGTAAAATAGTTTCACCACAATGCCATAATCTACGACGCCACACAGGGCCAGAAAAGGTGATGGAAGCTAAAGCTAAAGGTGCAGATGGAGTGAGGCTGATGGGGTAGAGATGACCATTATGATGCGCCTGAAGAAGAACTGCCCCCGAGGTTTTATCCTTAACGAAAAAATAGTTTTTATCAAAAACAGCAACACAGTTGTTATCAGCGCATAATTTTTGAATGGAAATTAAATTAAATTTAATCTGAGGCACATGTAAAATAGATTTCAAAGACAACGGGTGACTGAGTGTATTTAATGTAATATTTCCAATATTAGCGATGGGAAGAGTAGTACCATTCGCAACACTAACAGTCATGGAGCCAGAGTAAGGGAATTAAATACCTTCTGAAGATGTCATGTGAGCAGAAGCACCCCGAGTCCGGATACCATAGAGCATCGTTTGATCCCCCACTTGGAGTAATCAAGGCATGTGCAGAGGTCTGTGAAAAGCGAGACGGACAGTGCAACGCAGAGTGACCTGCAGAGAAACATACTTGGCATACAACTGGGGGAGGGACAGAACCAAGAATACCCTCAGCTGATGGGAAACCTGCAAAATTGCAATGAGTACCAGAAGTAGATTTAGCATTAATATTTAAAATGTACAAGACAGATTTACCAGATGCATCATTAGGAGGACTCGGTGCAAACACACCCCCTGCAGGTCTCGGCCCCGGCTGGTGGTATTGCGCCTGAGGTGCTGGTGGTGCATAGGGCTGCTCTGATTCCGTCCTCTGCCGCGACCCCCGCAGCCTCATCCGCCTCTGCCACGCCCTCCGCGGCCACGGTAAGCAGCCGCCTGACCCGGCTGCCCAGCCCCACTTGAGCCCCAAAGGCTTGGTGAGGAGAAGAATTTTCATGGGACCGCTGGTGCAAAAGGTGCTGCTCGGCTTCCATGAGGCGTGGGTGGAGAACATCAGGGGGAAAACTCTCAGGAAACATAGAGATGGTGTCTGTAACAAATTGATACTCAGGGCCTAATCCAAGGAGCATGCTTTTTAGTAATTCTCTATCAGGGCTAAAGCATCAACCAAATGTTTAAGTTCACCTAAATAATGCTCCATGGATTGATTTGGTTTCTTTTTAGTATTAGACAATAAATGTTTGAGTTCCATGGCTCTGGGTAAAGTGGCAGACATAAATTGTGATTGTAACCGCTCCCATATACCAAATGAATGTTTAAGATCATGAACATCAGTTAATACGTCGCGAGAAAGAGTAGCAAACAACCAAGATCTAATTGTTTGATCCACTCGGAG